ATTTTTGGTTTTAGCTATCCAAGAATAGACCAAAGATGGTCAATCCAGTTCAGAACAAGTAATAATTTATAATACACAAATATCAAATATCTTGAACAAGCGTACAAAAAAAAAGTCGGGAGAAGTTAACTAATTTGTCACTGCAACTGAGTTCTGCTTGCAAAGGCCTATTGAATGAACAAAAAAAATTTTTAATGACGCCAGAGGGAGTTTTTGGGATGACGTCATTATGATATCACGGAGTTGGGTAGGATGTCCAGCGGAATGAACTCTGAGAGGTGATTATCGTCTCTGATGAAGACTATCTTGTTTGATGTCACTTCGTTGATCCTGTGACATGTTGGGTAAAATAAAGACACAAAGGTATTATAGAATAAGTAAAGAAATACAGAATAAATGGTTTTCCCAGAGGTGAACAAGATGAGAGGGATAAGGGAAGTAAAGCGAATTGAATGAGAAAATGTAGGAAAGTGTCCCAGTCGAGGATAACTTCTTGAGAAGGGTCCCCCAATACAATTAACGAAGATATTTATGATAAAACATCCATAGTACTAACCAAAGCCGTATGATAGCCCAAAATCCACTGAATATAAAAGGTGCGTTCAACAGAAGGCAATGTCCAAGTCTTTCAGGAAATCTCCTTGACAGCAGCCAAATCAACTGCTTTACGAATCCATAGTCCATGTTGTAAAAGGAGAAATCCTTTGGAATGTAACAACCAGCAAAGACTTAGCGAAATATATATATTCTTCGTCATCGCGGCCATGTAAGTGCCATTTAACAGAAGATTTCTCATTAGCATCCATTGTTAACGGCACCACAAGGGCCGCCATGTTTTTGTCTTTTGACTCCCTTCATGGGAAATTTGCAGCCCATCAATATTCGAGTTCGAACCTCGTTAATACGACCACACCAAGGGGACAGAGCGTCCGTTATAGCAGGGTCAGGTGTCCGTATTATCCAGGTAAGATTTCTCAACTTATTTCAAAACTCAGGACAAACCCTTATAAATATCTTGATATGTTAACATTTTTATATGTTGCCAACACCAACAACACTTTTTGGTCAATCCCTGCGCAGCAAGGTAATCACATACTAGTAACTCTATTAGAAACAACATTTTCGAGACTGACAAAAGTATTGAACATTTCTGCGACCTAAATGTCGTCTCTAATTTTTATTTTACGAATATAAACCACTACTCATGAATATTTTTTGTTTCAATAATTGTGAATGCTGATCGATTCAATGCGATGCTACTCACTTTGAGATCGAATAGAATGCATATGTTGTCAATGATGCTTTCGTCACATTTCCTGGTCGCACATTCCTGTGTGTGGTAAAGTATAGTGAGAAAAAGTCAGTCCGATTGCAAAACATGAGACCACTTAGTTTCACAATGGCTTAGTTTTTTATTTGTGACATATTTAAAATGCGTGAATACTTGGCTGCTCAGTGCAACCAAATCATGCACTAGTTTTAGGYCGATTCACTTACCAAAGTATAAATAATGAATTTAGTTATGACGTCAAGATCTCTTTCTCTGGCATCGTGTAGTCTTGCAGTYACTATTATGATAGGTCTGGAAGGTATACATAATAATTAATTATTAAGTCGCAATCCACGACGCAAGCTTATTTTTCTCTCTATCTACAAGGCTCATTTCAAAGATTTGACCAAAACGCCGCCACCGCCATGTAGTTTTGTTTTCAATAGAAAAACTTATAACTATCATATGAGAAGAGTTAGTCCTATGAAAGTATAATCTTACTCACCTGTGACTTTTGTCAGGAAAATCAAGGACAATAGCTTTTCCCGTGTCTACCTCACGCATAACATCATCATCGTTACTGAGGTAGTCTACTCYATAGTCCTCCCTCCATTTGATGTATTTCAGAAGCGCCTTACAAGCTTCGTCTACATCTTCAAATCCTCGTAAGAAACGTTTTAGGCATGCATCGGTTTGAGCCTTCAAGAAAACAATAACATTGACATCAAATGGAAAAAAGACATCGCTTATGTGTCCCTTTCTCTAGAATCTCTCTCTGTCTCTCTGTCTCTCTCTCAGTCTTGCTGTTGCGCGCACTCTCTCTCTCTTTTGTTTAAAATTTTTAATAAATATCTAGACTCTTTCTTTCTCTCTTAAATTTTTTTCCCGACGACGAATAGGGTTTCTTTTTTTTCGTGAAAAGCATTATTCAGTTTACGACAACATTATGCAAATTCGTAGCACAAACCCTCAAAGCGTTCATCGCAGCACATAAYAAAACTAGTAGCTTACTCCCTCTTTCACACTTTCTTGTGTTACAAGAAACTTTTGGCATTGATTTTTCTTAGAAATTTTTATCACAGTTCCTTCAAACCATTTTATTTTTCGTTCCATTATACAAATCAAAGCTTATCTCACTTCGACTAAGTTGTGTCTCGTGCTGTGATAGAAGTACTTACACGAGAAGCCTTTACTTCATAACCAAAAATTAAATTCAGTCGATCATCGTCAAAAAACATCTATGTGTAATTAAGTTTCTTATAGATGATATCAAACAAAGCAGAAAGCAATCCAAGTATTCACCTCGCGCGCAAAATAAAATTAATAGAACTGGCAAAGTACGTCATCAATCACACTCAACTGATATTATATAAATTTTTGCTATTTTAACCATTGGGAATTCGTATGTACTTACGTACCTTGGAAGGGTCCGCTTCGAAAAGTGGCTGTAAAGAAAGACGATGTAAAATGAAAATGTAATTTGATTGATCGTAGTGAAGTTCATTTATAACCCTACTGAATCATTACGTTGCTAGGAGCTGGTTGAAAATTAGAAAATATGCTTGACAAAATAAAGAAAATATAGATTGAACACAAAGGGGGAACAAAGCCCTATACATTTTTGCTGGTTTTATACTTGACTTTGAGAGCAATTTTTACTTTCTATATATTCAACCATGTGGGWTTACGATGAATATTTATTCCGAAGTCGTAATTCATATTTCATCGTAGAATTTCAATTCYATGAGAAGAAAAATCTTTCCTCACCTTTAGTCGGCTTTTCAGCTCTAGAAAATCCTCTTGATTGTACGACGGAKAGAGCTCCTTTATCGAAGTCATTTTTGGCGAAAACATACCATTTTCCCTGACAAAATGAGCTGCAAAACACCAAACGACTTTGCCTTATGTGGAATGTGCCTGATAGGCAACCAGAGTATTATATGATCGTGAATAATGCAAGAAWAAAATCGTAAATACGACAGGTACTTGGCTGCAATCAACCATCGACGTCCACAAAAAATAGCCAATTAATCAAAAACATTACCGCGCTCTGATTGGATAATTATCTTCAATTTTGACCAATCACAGCGTCTAAAGATTTTAGATGTCACGTGTAGTAAAYATTCCAGAATCCAAGATGGCGACTGCGAAGCTTGAATATGTGCCTCTAGAAAAAGAAGGTTTACAACCTCTTGTAGGTAAGATTTTAAATAAAATCCTAGATYATTAGATTATTTATTTCATATTTTCTAACCCTGTTGATTTTCAAGTCTCTGACTGGTATACTTTTGCGTGTACAGTGCAGTTTACGAATGGTTGTTTGAAAGCTGGACGTAAAGGGACGAAGAAAGATGGTATTAATTTTTCTTATTATCGATGGAAAGACTCATCTGATATTAGAAAGAAACACAGGAGAACATTGGTATGTTTGAAGGATTTTTTTCTCGTTGAAAAATGCGGTAWTTTTTCGACCAATCTATCTCATGCTTTACCACAGGGAGCCCAAGAAGTTATTTATTTAACGAATTATCTTATTTTTCACTAAATGCAGACAGCTAAGGCAGATCACATGGAATATGTCGGGCAGAACTTTGGACAGTTTGCAAGAGTGAACAATTTGTGCAAGTATGTAAAGTTTGGCGACAGTGATGATTATGAATTTGCTGATGATGTTAATAATAACATTGTTTGGTGATGATGATGGTGATGATGATGATGGATGATGACGGATAATGATAGTGATGATGTATAGTGTAGTAGCTGTGTTGAAAGTAGTAATAAGGATAATGTTAAATTGTTGCTCTGTAGTTAATGCTATTATGATAACACTTCAAAAACAAGTTTTCAATTCGTTCATCTCAGATACCTAGTTGGTGTCCTTGATAAAGATAGTGGCAAGATGAAAATCTATGATTCACAGTTGTTTATGATGCAGCCTAAAGTATTAGGTAAGATCATTTTTACATGCAAAACTATACTAGAGTGCAAACCATATATCCATGAAATAGCACTAACTAATACAAAATAGCAACAATGAAAACAAAAGAAATAGATGTGTTTAGTACTATTTAGTTTTTGAGCAATTTCACAGATATATGGTTTGGCTCTACACTCAAATGAGGTAAAACAGTCTTTCTACTATGATTATTCTTCAGATTGACTGCCTGTGATTAGCTGATTTTGTTGCGATTGGACGGTATTGCAGAATTAAAATCAGCCAATCAGGAGTCATTATCAAAGTTTATTATTGTTTTATTTAATAACACACTTTGATTTCTTTTCTAGAAAAAGCTGCAGCATCTTCACCAAATGATGAAGTGGATGGRAAAAAAGAGTTATCTTTTATTGAAAAAGTAGTGCTATATTTTTTGTTTTACATGATTTCCTTTAAAGTGTGTACTCCTTTACCTCTCCACCCCAAAAAATGTTACTCAACTCCTTCATAGTTGATAACTACAGTAAATACTTTTAAGCACAWCATGGCTAGTAATTGTTTCACGAATATATGGCATGCACTCTAYGAATACTCAGAGATRACTTTCAAAGKGTTTGGGATGGTGTAATTTTTCTTCTGGTTTTTGTCTTATGTATTTGATATTGTATTTCTCTCTTTCCAGTCTGATCGCTTAACTGAAGCTTTCGGAAGCAGTAAAAAGAAAAGATCTGTTGCCTCRAGAAAGAAAAATCTTATAGATAAAGATGACCTAGACAGTACTGTTATGGATGCAGTGCAAGGAGAATTAATGAACCTGTCTCAAGAAGAACAAAGTAAGCATTGTAGAAGCAATAAGTATTGGATCTTGTGTGAGTTCAGGGGGCGGTTTGTATGGAATAATATGTGTTTCAAGGGAGGAGGATCAGAAGAATGTGTGGTACAATCTTTTTTGTGTGGGGGTGGATAGAGAGGGTGCTGTGGGTAGTGTTTTGTGATTTATTGCAGCACTGAGTTGAAATGAGTCAATTTGCAGAACTTCAAGGTGAACTTTAAAGGAATAATGCACTTCATGTGTACATGCATTCATGTACAGRGGTGTAGGGGGATAGTTGCAGAAGTGGTGAATATTTTTGGGCAATAAGTTAAAGGGATTGTGTTTTTATCATTCCAGAAACACCAACCACAGAACAGTCATCTACCATTCCACCTTTCAACATTAAAGCAGAAACCCCTTCTGAAGTTTACRATTTGGATGACAGTATCTTTTTATACTTTGTACATAGATATTGATGTTTTTCACATTTATATTATCATATCCATGCACATATCGAAATATTTTCTCAGAAACTGTTTTAATYCAAGGATCATAGGATGTAGGCTAACAGGAATGCAAGGAAACTAATTCAAGCACAAAACTGTCCATGTAACATAATGCTGATTCAAAACCTTCTTTATATACAGTACAGCGATGTACCAGAGAGGGATAATAGAGCTCCGAGTCACCCTGCCCAAAATGTTTCAAGATGACAATTATAAACCTTTATACTACTGTATTTATCAGACYTTTAAAAAAACAACACTTATTTATTTGCATCAGTGAGGGTGAGAAAGAAGATATTAAGGTTAGCCCTATAGTTAATATCTCCTAGGATCRAATTAGAATTTAGTAGTTGGTTTTTGMRGAGGGAGGAAAGCCAGAGAACCCAGAAAACCCTCGAAGCACAGGAGAARACAAACAAMCAACTCCACTCAYATACAACACCAAGCTYGTYGGGACTTGAACCCGGCGTGCCGCTACGCCATCCATGCTTCCAAGACTTGTTGCCATGGACATTTACCCCACTTCCTTCAATGAAGACCGTGAGGTGTGGGTTTTTCTGATGTTTTTTAAAAGTCTGATATTAATGGTTTTTTATCCCAGGCATTGCTAGTAATGTACTGAAATTTTCCCAAGGCTATTAAATAAGTTTGTTATCCACCTTAACAATATATCAGTTATCACCCCTGCTGAATATGATGTTCTTAGAAAATTGTCCAAGGAGTTGGAAGGGGCTAATAAGGAGCTAATAGATCAGTGGAGACAACAGAAGAGGTACTAATATAACTTATAAAATAAGTAAACCCCCACGAACTTCCAATTTTCTTTCATACAAACTCTGAATTTTGTTCTTTCTCAGACCCCCTGCCCTCCAAAATTTCCTATTTTCTCTGTGGGTGGGGTATGGATATTTTCTAGAACTAAACAATTCTTCCATTGCATGTTACATGATCATGGCYGCTTGGGGAGCATTGGTGCCATTAACAAAGGAGTTCTCATTASCATCCATTGTTAACGTCACCACAATGGCCGCCATGCTTTTGTCTTGGGAATGCTTGCATCCCTTGTTATCCATCCATAGCTGTATATTTTGACAGTGCTTTAAAACTTGTTTTCTTTTGTGTCTTCTTATGTCAGATTTCCAGAGTACATCTTACAGCATCTTGCAGTAATGCCCTTGAATTCATCTCAACGAGCTCACAGATCATGCTTGTTGTTGTACTTATCATATATGATTCRAATGTATCAACTAAAGTATAGTGCTTTAAGAAAGAAAGGTAGGATTTGTCTATATTGCCCTCTATTCCTCATTCCTCTCTTAACCTTTTCTTCAAATAATAAAGGAAATTTCACATAGAATAGTTTCCATGTACGCTTTTTGAAAAACGTTTTTTTCTTTTTTTTTTTTTTTTCAGATCCACTTCATGGGTACCCTGACAAAATCCAAGAAAGACTGTTGTCTACTTTCACTCTTGAAAGTCCACAGCATTCAAAAAATGGCAGGTTTGTTTGAGGCAAAATGATTGGATGTAATTTTGTGCCAATGTACAGAGGAAATGACAACAGTTCAGTTTTATCAGTACTAACATCCTTTTGCCATCTGTATCATCATGAATGACCATCATCATTATTCATCACTATCTACATCCAAATTGTCATTCATCATCTTTATCATCACCATCATTGTGATTCAATACCTTTTTTTATCATCACCATCATTCACCATTATCATTCGACATCTTGACCATCAATCATAATCATTAACATTGATTATTCATCTTTTATAACCATTCATCACAGCATCATTACTGATCRATATTGGTAATAACATGGATTTYTTRTCCTACAGATTGATTCCAAAAAGACTTAAAGACAGGCTGCTATCTTACATTCTAGTTCTRGCTCTCATCATTGATGAATTTGTTATGGATTGTATRGTCATAGCAAAAGATCTAAAGATGGATCCCAAAAAGTAAGATTAAAACAAATTGCCTAGCAATCCTGTTAACGGTGCATTCTCCACAATTCAATTAAGCTATTCAATAATACTAGACACCCAGTAAAAACCCCACTCATATTTTTCATATGAACTATACACCCAGGATCTCAGTGACA